CAGCACCTGTGGAGGCCTCTCGGGGGAACGAAGGGACGAGGCAGGGGAAGGACAGCGTGCCCACCTCACTGCCCGCTGCTCCTGCTTGTCCCCAGCCTGGGGGCCACCCGCCTGCGAGGGTCTGCGCGTCCTGCAGGCTGCTGGGGTCACCGGGCGGGGTCACAGGCAAGGGTCACAGGCGGGGGGGTCACAGGCAGGGTCTCTGGCAGGGTCACTGGTGGGGTCACAGGCGGGGTCACAGGCAGGGTCACAGGTGGGGGTCACTGGCAGGGTCACAGGCAGGGTCACTGGCGGGTTCACAGGTGGGGTCACAGGCGGGGGGTCACAGGTGGGGTCACAGGCGAGGTCACAGGCGGGGTCACAGGCAGGGGTCACAGGCGGGGTCACAGGCAGGGTCCCAGTCCTTGCGCTCTGTGTCCCTTTAGAGGAAGACATTTAAATAGTCGATTTTTCATCTGTGAACAGCAGCAGAGAAAAGAAAGGTCTTCAGGCCGCTGGTTTGTTGCCGTGGAGAAAACGCACACTGTTGCCAGCAGCCCGACAGTGAGGGCGGGGCCGGCGGGGCTGCACGGCAGTGGGTGGCGGGGGGGCGGGGCACAGGGGCCCGGACCCCCGCAGAGGCCCCTGTGCAGGCCTCCCCGGTCCGCAGCAGCAGGAGGGCCTCGCGCGGCCCCTTTCCCGTGCCGGGATTCGGGCGCCACACCAGCACAGACGGGGCAGGGGCCGGTTCGCGCCGGCGGTGTGAGAACAGCTCGGTCACTGATGAAGACCGGTTCCAGAGCGGACTCTGCGTCCCGCCACTCGCCACAGCAAACCTGCCCCGGCCTGGCCTGTGTGTGCAAAGTCCGGGCTGTCCCGTGACCAGAGACCGCGGGGCCCCCGGAGAGACCGCCACACGCCGCAGGTCTCGGCTCGGGGGCCTGCGTGTCCCTGCAGGACAGCGGGCGCAGCAGGGGGGCCTCGGCGAGACCGGAGCAGACCGTCCTCCACGCTGCGGTGGGCCTCGCCCAGGCAGGCGCAGACCTCAGGGGGCAGAGACCTGCCCCTCCCCCCACCCCCCCACAGGGGGAGGCACCTCCCGCCACGGGCCTTCCGACGCCAACTGCAACATCGGCTCTCCCTGGGTCTCCAGCCCGCCGCCCGACCGGGGGAGTTCTGGACTTGCCAGCCCCCGTGGTCACGTGAGCCGAGTCCTTCTGATCAGCCTCCCTGTGTGTGTGCGTGCCCATGTGTGTGTATGTGTGTGCTCGTGCATGTGTGCGCATGTGTGTGCACATGTGTGTGCACATGTGTGTGTGGGCATGTGCGTGCACACAGACACACACACCGGCTCTGCTGGAAGGAGCAGCCCCGCGCGTGTCCGCGGCTGCACACGGGAGCGTGCACTGTCAGTACACGCAGCTCTCATCGCCCCCGGAACCGCAGCATCCGGGGAACGTTCTGGAAGGAGCGAAGGGTGGAAGCGCTGCGTCCTGTGCTCGGTGGCTGCTCCCTGAGATGGGAGGACTCCGTCGCCCGCCCGTCCGGGCCGCTCCCACGCTGCCCAGGCCGCCTCGGGGCGAGGAGGTCGCCCCCACCTCCGGGTCCCCCCCTGGAGAAGCCCCGCTGCTGCCCTCCCGAGGGCCGGAGTTCGTGCTCAGGCGCGTGAACTTGACTTTGCTGTCCGCGCACTCCTGCCGCGCGCCGTCAGGGTTCAGCGTCCACTGTCTCAGCACAGAGATTCCCGGGCTTGCGGCTTCAGCATCGGCTCTGAGCACACGCGGTCGGGAGGAGGTGACTGAGCACCTCCCACCCTCCAGGCAGATGGGGACAGCCCTCGCTGGACTTGACTTCTGTCCCCCTCGAGACACCGCCGGACGCAGCCTGAAGGCCCCGCGAGGCCGGCACGCGTGTTGGGGCGTGTCCGTGGGGCTGGGCGGCGTAGCAGGTGCGCTGGTCAGAGTGCGATTTCCCGTCCCTGTGAGGAAGGGCGGGTCTCCCACTAAAAAGCAGATTCTTCTGCCAAAACCGTCCCCCAGAACGGTGCTGCTTTCCAGCCGGTTACACTCAGCACGCAGGGGGGGTGAGGGGGTGGAGCCTCACGCACAGCCCTTCTCCGAGCCTCACCCGGGTGAGCTGGGCGGCTGGTGCCACAGCCGCAGCCACAGCTTCTCTGTCCCCCTGGACCCCGGGCCTGGGCTGCAGCGCCAGCGGCCCTCGGGGAAGGGCCCCCCCAACTGAGCTCAGTGCTCTCCTCTGAGTGCCCCCCCACCCCTGGGGACACTCCTGGTCCCTCCCCGCCCGCCCCCTCTCTGTCCTCTGGGCGGTCTGGGGGCCTGCGGCCTGTCGCTGTTCAAGGTGACGGGGACAGCGGCGGTGCCCCCTGCAGCGAACGGAAGCCGCGCACTCAGTTGGGCCGACGTCCTCTGCTGCCCCTCGGCTCCGCGGGGCGGGGACCGGAGTCCGGAGCGAGGCGGCAGCCGACGTCAGTGGCGGGGCCTCCGCCTTCAGGGAACACTGTAATTAGCTGCTGTCTGAGCCGCTTTGTTGCCCGGGGACCGAGGCCGCTGGGGCCGGGCGGCTGACGCAAGCCCAGGGCGCTCGGTCGGCGGCGGGAGGGACCGTGAGAGACTACAGCAGAGCACCAGGTGCCAGCAGGAGCCAGGTGGCTCTCCTTGCCCACGGAGGTCGCAGGTCGGAGGTCACAGGTCGCAGGTCTCTGTCCCCGCTCTCCCTCTGAGCCTCTGACTGGTTGGTGGTGGGGACCCCAGATCTGCTGGGACCGCTTTTGTCCCCCTCGGGACACCGCAGGACGCAGCCTGAAGGCCCCGCGAGGCTGCCACCCCTCCCCCACACCCCCACCCTCCCCCTAGGAGACGGTCACCGCTGGACTCGTGACACAGTGACAGGCTGCAGGCCCAGCCTCCCTCGCTCGGCCGGTCTGGGGACTCTGGGGACGTGGACATGGTAAGCCAGCCGCACACCTCCCGGAGCTGCCCCCACCCCCGCCTGCTCACTGCCTGTGCGGGCCACCGGCTGGGCAGGAGGGGGCCTCCTCGGACCTGGGGGGCGGCTGCAGGCGGGGGCTGGTGGGGCCGCAGAAGGAGGAACCTGCGTCTGCAGCCCGGGTGTCCGTCACTGTCACCGGGGGCCGTCACTGTCACCGGGGGTCATCACTGTCACCGGGGAGTCATCACTGTCACCAGGGGGGAGGGGCCATCACTGTCACCGGGGGCCATCACTGTCACCGGTGCAGACGTCCCCAGGACACCGGAAACCGTGACGGAAGAAACAGGCCCGCTTCCCCGGCCTCTCTGTGTAGAGGACGGAGAATGACCACAGTGTCCCTTCTCAATGTAAAAGACCTCAGTTGACGTGACCAGCCAGGCAAGAGACTCGCCTGCCCCACCTTGGCCTCCTGGCCCCCAGGGCTGAGAGGGTGGCCCCAAGCCCAGCGCCAGGCTCCAGGGCGCCCCCGAGGGGCCTCAGTGGGGGGCGGGGGGCGCCTGGGCTGAGACCAGCCTTCCCGAGAGGCAGAGGAGAGTGGCTTCAGGAACAAGCACCTGCCAGCCTGAGGGGCCAGAGGGGCCAGTGTGTGGGCGAGGGAGCCTCCCTGTCCTGCGGGTGCGGGTGCGAGGGTGGCCTTCGAGGGCCGTCCGAGGCTCCGGCTCTGCCGGAGAGGACGATGGTGTCGGGACGACACGGAGGGGCTTGGGTCGGGCTCACTCCTGGATGCATCCGAGCGCTCCCGCCGGGCCCTGGCGGGGACCTGGTCAACCCGCGGTGTCCTGGGAGGCAGGGGAGAGGTCCTGATGCAAGAGGAAAGGGCAGGCCCAAGACCAGCCCTCAGGGACCCGGGGGGATGGTGACCCCCGTGAATGCAGTCACAGCGGCCAGAGCGCTGGTCCTCCTGCTGGGCCGGGCCCTTCTCTCCACGCTCAGCAGCCCCTGGTCCCCTCGGGCCCTCCATCCGGCCTGGCGCCCCGGTCCGAGTCCTCAATGTGGTGGGCTCTGCGGCCCCCGAGCGGCCTGTCAGGCCCCTCCCTGGGCCACAGCTTCCTCGGGTTCCTCGGGGAGGACTGCGGGCGGGGGGGGGGCCCGCCTGGCAGAGCTATGTGAAAATCGCTCAGAGCGGCCGGCACCGAGCGCACCGGGGTGTTAGCTCTTGCTCTCAGCCGGCCCGTAACAGCCGGCCCGCTCTCCCTGGGCAAACACTCCTGAGGCCGCTCCCTGGCGCCGAGTCAGGGACCGGCCGGGCGGCCGAGGCCCGAAACCCCCCGACTGAGAACCGTCCACGCCGGGTTTGGCCCAAGCGGGTCCGACTCCAACACAGTGGGCTCAGAGGGGATTCTGGCCAGCTTCACCCCTCCCCCTTTCTCCTTTCTGTCCTCTTTATTGTCCTTCCTCTCAGTGTGGTCCCAGGTGTGAAGGAATCCGTCTCCCATGCGAGGAGCTCAATGGGGCGGAAGGGAGGCCGGACAGTGAGCATGTGGCAGGTGACACCCAGGACCAAGGGGACAGACTCAGAGTCGTGGGGGCCCGGAGGGGGCGCTCAGCCAGGGCAGGGCGAGCAGGGAAGGCTGCCTGGAGGAGGGGGCGAGCGAGCCTGATGTGGCCACGCCCGAGAGGACGGGAGGGCCGGGGCTGCCTGGACACCGCCGCGTCACTGATCGCTGAGGGCGGGTCCTTGCTCCTCGGGGCCCAGAGTGTGCGGCTGGAACACCCGTGGGCCGGGGGCCTTTGGTTTCTCCCTGTCTCCCGTTCTCCAGGCCAGTGGTCGGGGCCCTCGTGGGCATACCGGGCTCTATGAGCCCGGACGCTTGGGGTTCGTCCCGGAGGCGGGGGGAGCCCCTCAACGGGGCAGGTGCTGCTCCCCTGGGCACAGGTGACCTCGGTCACATCAAAGGCGCAAGGGCAAACGTCCTTGATAACGAAGCCAAGCAGGGGAGGCCTGACTCTGAAGCCGGCCCGGGCTTTGCCCCGCCTCCGCGCATCTCGGGCAGAGCCCGGCCCACAGCCCACAGGCGCTCGCTCGCTCGCCCGGCGGTGCCGGGGCACAGACAGAGGAGCCGGGGGAGAGCCGGGTGTGTTTTAAGGGTGCTGCTCCCACCCCCAACCGTCCTCTGCGGGCAGAGCCTCTGCTCACACCTGAGGGAACAGGGAGGTTATTAGGTTGGTCACACATTAACCAACCGGCTGGTGGCTACACCAAGGACTCCGCTCCGGTCCTTCCGAGGTCAGAGTGCGAGCGGGCTCATGAAAACTCAGTGGGCGCCTGCTGTGCCCTCAGAGCCCAGCTGGAGCCGGGAAGGAGCAGGTGGGACGCGTGGCCTGTACCCCGCAGGTCTAAGGTGGGCCCGGGAGGTGGGAAACCACGTGCAGGGGGCCGGAGCGCGCCGCTCGAAGTGCGCCGCCGCGACAGGAGGGTGGTCTGCGGGTGCGGGCTACGGGGGGACAGAAGGCTCGGGGGGAACCTCTGGCCTCCTCCCCTTCCCCCCCCCCGAAATCAGGGCACGGGTGCTCCCCTGTGAAGGACTCACTCAGTCCCTGGAGACTCAGCCCTGGGCGCGCTTTGCAGCCCTTCCTGAAACAGTGCCACCTCCAGCGGCTCCTCCCACGGTTGACTGGCCCACGATTCCCACCACTGGAAGCCCGACCCCTGACCCCCGACCCTGTCCGGTCTCCAACAGCGCCTCGCTCTTTGTTACAACGTTACACACGCTCTCAACCCAACCACTTCCGGGCCTTCCCTCTGCGACACAGTAACTCTGTGTTTCATTTGCAGACACCGGTTCCAGAACCAGGAGGGTGGAAGATTTCTTAGGTCCCTACGACCCACGAAGGACGGCGGTCACGACCAAGGCTGATCGTGTGATGACGACTGATGCTGGTTTTAACCCACACGCACAAAGATAAGCACGGACAAATAAATGGGGCGTAAGATAAATAATTGAGCGTTTGTTTTCAACGAAGTAAGGGTAGTCTCACCTTGAGAACGCAGACTTAAAATAATAACATATTATCATTCAAATCTCACGCAGACAGCCCTGACTGGTGTGGCTCAGTGGGTTGGGTGTTGTCCCACAAAGCAAAAGGCTGTGGGTTCGATTCCCAGTCAGGCACATGCCTGGGTGGTGAGCTCGGTCCCGGGTAGGAACGTATACGTCGGTGTCTCTCTTCCTCTCCTTCTCCCTCTCCTCCCCTCTCTCCAAAAATAAATAAATAAATTTAAAACTATAAATCCCACACAGACATATGAGCTAAGTACCCACCCCCCACTTTTTTCCTGTGTAACTTTTGGTAGGACAGTGGTAAAACCAAGTAATTAAGAGGCAAATTTTAAGAGCCAAAATTAATTTGCTTTTTTTGTTTGCATTTGGAATAATGCCTATAAAACACCCCCCCAAAGCATTTTTCTTCTTACTTAAAAAAAAAAAAAGACTAAGTGAGGGCAAAATATCTTTTAACTCTGTGACCAGGATCCCAGCACTTAGAAAGGCGAAGCTGGACAACCGGAATCTCGTGGAGCGGCCCGTTCCGAACACACAAAAAAGCTCAGATGCGGTTTTGCCTGTTACTCGGAACCCCCCCTCCCCCCCAGTCACAAGGATTTCAGTTGAACGAAGCTCACAAAATCAGGGGTGGCATTTATCTCACGTGGCTGGGAAACGGGCCCATCTCCTTAATTCTGGGTTTTTTGGATGAGTTATCAGAATCATCGATTCAAGAGTTTCCATTTTTAAGTCGCTTCAATACCTCATGCCCCTAGGCTCATTTTCATCCTTCTTGAATTCAGCAGACACGCACAGGAGTGTTTTTTCTGGGCCTTGGGCTGTCCCTGCTACCCCCGCAGGCCCCGCCCCTCCGGGTCTCTGACCTGGCCGCAGCCCCCCCACCCCCCCAGGTCCTTCTCCCTCCCACTTCTCCAGGCCGCCCCGCCCCCTCGCTCTCCGTAGACTGGCCTTCGCAGCTGCTTCTGCAGGAACACATGGCCCTCACCCCTGGCCAGCCAGACCCCCCTGACCTGCCTGACCTCCCGGGGCCTCCTGACTCCCCGAAATGACGCCCCTCCCTGTGCCTGCCCGCCCGCCCACCCCACAGTGGGGATCGGGGAACGGGGACGGTCCTGCAGGGGGAGCATGGCTGTGCCTTCACCCCGGCGGCTCCAGGGCTCCAGGAGCCAACGGACGGACGAACTGGGTAGAGCTGATCCCACGGTGCCCCCTCGGACACGCTTTTCCTGCGTGTCTGGAGCGTGGAGGCTGCGGGACCACCGCACGGAGCACCTCCTGCCCTCGTGGGGTTCACAGCCGAACGAGAAAGAGGAATCAGCCGGCCTAGTGTTCGGTTCGCGGTGTTAATGCTTTCAGTTCTGTGGCATGGCACGCCCATTTTCCAGATGACTTGGAAGCAGAAAGGTAGACACGTTTACTCCCAGGGACGGGGGGAGTCACTCTGGGCCGACGCACTGGCCTCCGTCAGAGCCCGGCCGGGAGCGGAGGTTCGGACGACCCCCACAGAGTGGGAAAGACCCGCCTGCCGGGAGGGGCCGGCCTTGACCTCTCCCAGTGCCCGGGTCACGGAAGGACTGGGCGGCCAGGCCTTCTGATACCATCTCGGGCTCTCTAGGCCCCGGTAGGCAGCCAGAAGGCTGGAATGCGCTCCTGGAATGTGAGCCATTCCGGACTTCAGAGACAAGAGTCTGGGTGCCAGCCCTCCCCACGGACACGGAAGCTCTCAAGCCGCACCCTCCTCCCCCCCCCCCAGCAAGGCCACGCGTCATCACCGCCGAGAAGCTCCCAGCGTGTAACCGGGCTGGACGGGGCGACAGGCAGAGGCCCTGGGAGCCCGGGGGCCCTCTCCCCGGGAGCGGGCGAAAGCCGGGAGGTCGGCCCTCCCACGGGGATCACGTCGCGATGCACACGGGCTGCTGCGCGAGAACCTCCCACGGAGTCTGTGGGCCTCACCGAGGCCTCGCCAAACGCCTTCTCCGACCGGCCTCTGGTGAGCGCCAACCTCGGCGGCTGGCGATGCCCTCCGTCCCCAACGGCCGGAGATGCGCTCGCCGGGATGTCGCCGGTCCTCCCCCTGCTGCCTTGGGTGTCCCGTGGCCGTCCCCACCACAACCCACTTCCGGAACCTTCCCAGCACCCCAGACCAAAGCCCTGTGCCCGTGAAACAAGGCTCACGTTTTGTGTACAAGTTTTTTCACGACAAAACCGATACAGTTCTGGAACGTTCTACAGGGAATGCCCTTTGAGGAGATTCGGTCTCCACGCCCACCGCCCTGGCCGGGGCTGACGCAGGGCCTGGCAGGCGGGGTGGTGAGGGAAGGACACCCCATCTCTTGGATCCGGCTGTTCCCACGGTGCCCGGCCCCCGAGCCAAGCGGGTGAAGTCACAGGCAACACCCCCTCCTCCGGAAAAACAGCCCCAACTGCTCGCCACTAATTGTGGGTCAGTTGCGTCATCCTCGTGCAGGAAGAATGACCTAATTACGTGACCACCTCCTGACTGCACCGGGGAATCACCTGCATTCCTCCCCCTCCCCCCTGGGAGTGCCCTCCACCTTTCTCTGGGCCCCCCCCCCACGCCCCAGCCCGGCCATTCCCGAGCCCCCAGGAGTTAACAGCCGTTTTCTGCCTTTTCTCTAAAGCCCTCAGCGCCGGGGGACCAGCGGGAGGGGAGGACGGTTCCTCCTCTCGGGCAGGTGGCCACACCTGCTCCCCTGGGTTCTCCTGACGCAGGAGCTGCTGTAGGTTCACAGCAGCCTCACCCTGGGGCCTCGGGAGCGGAAACGCGTGCCCCAGACCAGAGGGGAGCAGTGGTGGTGCGGGGGTGGGGGGCCATGGGGCCACGGGGGTGCAGGCTGCGAGCGGCGCGAAGGGCACTTCTCTCCACGCCCAGGCGTCCTGGTCCAGGGGCCCCAGGTGTGCGCGCGCAGCCGCCCGACTCGGGTCTAGCTGAGCCCCTCGGGAAGCAGCCGGTGCGAACCCAGAAAAGGACGGGAAGTGCCCCAGGTCCTGCCCTGAGCCCGGGTCCCGGCCACAGCGGCAGCGGGCAAAGGTTAACGGGACAGGCGGGGGAGGCTGCGAGCTGCGGGAGGAGCAGGTGTCGCGGAGCGCCCCCTTCTCGGCCCCCGGGGCTGCGGGGCCGCTCCCGGGGTTGCCCGCAGCGGGCGGGGGGCGCGCCGGGCCAGGGGCCGGGGACGCGGCAGACGGAGCGGCGGCGGCGGCGGCCTGGACGTGCACGGGAATTCCGGGCTCCGGCAGCCCCAGGAGCTCCCACCCGGCCGGCGGCCCCGCCCCGCCCGCCGGGAGGAGGGGCGCTGGCCGCGGCCGCGGTGGCGTGAGCGCGGGCGGGCGGGGGCCGGGCCCGCGGGGACCGAGCGCACCGCCCCTCGCCCGCGAGGCGGGAGCAGGCGGCCCCCCATTGGTCGGGCCGGCCGGCCCAGCCCTCCAGGCCGCGGGCGGAGGCGGGGGCACGGCGTGCGGGACTCCGGGGCGGGCCGCGGGCTCCGGGGAACCCAGTCGGACCGAGCTGCCCAGGGGAGCGAGCTCCGAGCGTCTGCGCCGCGGCCACTCCCGGGCCAGGAGCGCGAAGCCCCGTGCGAGACCCCGAGCCGAGCGCAGCCCCGTCGCGCCGCGACCACCATGACCCACTTCAACAAGGGCCCTTCCTACGGGCTCTCGGCCGAGGTCAAGAACAAGGTGCGCGGGCTCGGGCGGGGTCCCTGGGGCCGGGCGGCTCCCTTGCGCGCCGGCTTCGCGGAGCGGAGACGTCGGGCGGCGCGGCGGCCGCCTGCCCCCATCCGGTCCCCGGCGCCCTCCTGGCTTTGTTCCCGCGCCGCGGGCCGGACGGGCGGCGGGCGGCGGGCGGGGTCCGGGCCGCTGGAACCCGGCCGAGCGGACCCGGGGCACCCGGGGTCGGCTGCGGCTGCAGGACCCGCCCCTCCAGGCGGGAGGCACCCCCGCGCGGCCCTTCGCCCTGAGGTGGGGCTGGTCCGCGCGGCCGGGCGCCCGGGGCCCCTGCTGACCCCGCGCCCTCTCCCTCCGCAGCCCCAGCTGCGAGCACAGTTAGGCGGGTCCGCGGCCCGCCGGGTCCCCATTGTTCCCGGGGAGGGAGGCCGCCGAGCGTCCGTCCCCCCGACGCCGGGCGCCCCCGGGGGAACCGGACCCGCCCGGGACCCCTGAGTTTCCCGGATGCCGGTGCCGCGGGGCGAACTGCTGCGGCGTCAGGAAACGGAGACAAAGCCGGAGCGCGCCGCCCCGGGGTGCCGTCGCGGAGACCGGGGGGTTTTCCGAGGAAAACTGAGAAGTTGGGGAACGCGAGGCTGTAACGGTATCGGGGCGGCTCCGCGGGTCGCTTTTGTTCGGGGCCGACGCGCCCAGCGGGACGCCGCTCGCCGCGCCCGGCCTTGGGGCGCCCGCTCCTGCCTCCCGGCCGCCGCGCGGAGGGACGCCTCGAGTTCGCCCGGGACTCGGGGTCTGGGAAAGACACGAGCGGCGTCCCCCTCCCCAAATCCGCTCCTTCCTTCCTCCCTCCCCGCATTCCAAGTCCATGACATCAGGCGTTTCTGGGGAGAGACCAGCCAATCGGCGCGGAACTGCGCACAGAACGCTCATTGTCTCGGTTCTGCTGTTCTGGCCAAAGCGCCACAAAGGAGCGCCGCTGTGCTCGTCCCCCGTCGCCTCCGGGAGCCGCGGCGCGTCCGGTGGCCGCCGCACCTCGGGGGCCCGGCCCCGGCGCGGCGGGGCCCCGCGGGCGCTGGGTGCGCGGTGCTCTCCACAGAGCGAGGGGCGCCCCCGGGAGCCCCCAGGAGGGCTGCTGTCCACGCACCCCAGTAAGATGCGGTTAAGACCCTGAGCTGCCTTCTGAAGCAAGGGGTGCATTTTAGCCCCCCAACCAACCCCCTCCCCCCCAAAGCAGAAACGATTGGGGCCCGCAGTTCCCCCCACCCTTGCCCTGCCAGAGAACAGGGACCAAACACCTTCCTCAAGGACAGAAAAGTGAGCGGTCTGCGTGGGGACCACGAAGCTCCCCCCGGGAACCTGGCCCACGAGTGCTCCCCTCTCGGGTTTGCGCCCGGGCTCGGGGGACCCTCTCCGAGGGGGTCTGCCTGTGCCCAGCCGCCGGGGACGCCTGGCTGGCAGCAGGCGGGTGTGACCCTTCTTCCCCGCACATGGGGTCCCCGTCACTTGAGCAGCCCCCCAGAAGGGACTGGCCCTTCTTGGGGGTTAATATCTGTATTAACTCCTGCCGGCTGACGAAGAAAGCAACCTCTCCTCCTACGGGCTGTGGCAGGGAAGGCAGAGGCGGAGGCCAGGCGGCTGTAACTCCTGGCAGAGCCTGAGGGCTCAGAAACTCCGGGAAGCCGGTTATGACTTTGGGTCTGCCCCTCCAGGCCCGGTGTTCACAACCCCTTTCCTTCCCACGGGCCTCTCCTGCAGCGCCCCTGTGAGTGGGACGGCTTTGACCCCCGCTGCCCCGGGGCGGGGGGTGGGGTGTCCCCCCCCAACATCTTATGCAAACAGAAGCCCAGAAAGGGCGCCATGGGCTCAAGAATGGCCCGAGAAGGGGGACTCCGGCCGGGCGTCGTGGTTTAGGGCAGGTCCCGGGTTCCTGGGGTCGCGCCCGCCACACCCCTGCTCCCGCTCGTGTAGGGGGGCCCCCTGTTACTCCTGGATGTTGTGATCAGGGGCGGAATCCTGTCACCCCTTCTGGGTCCTTGTTCCCCGGGCCGTCGAAGGGGACCTCGAGTTTCTGCCGAGCGTCCGCAGGCCGGGCACCCTCAGGCCCGTCTGCCCTTTCCCTGTGCCTTCCTCAAGGATACGTCACTCACACGCAAGGGCTATTTTTGTTTTTCCTCAAAACGTCACTTAACACACTTAACAGAGCGGGGAAAGGTCAGTGCCCCGGGCTGCCACCAGCGGGAGGGGCCTTGGCCCCCAGCAGGTGCGGTTCCGTCCCCTCTCTGCCCCTCCCGCCCCGCGTGACACTGGCCCAGTGGTTCCGTCCCTGCTCCGGTGCCTGGTCAGGAAAATGGGGGGACAGCGGTTAACCCCCGAGCCCCGTGTGGTTGGGACGTGTGGCTCGCACTGAGGACCGAGTGGCCGTCGGAAGGCGCTGCCCCTTTAAGAATGCGGCTCCGTCAAACGTGCCTTTGGTGGTTTTCTGTCCGGCCTGCGAGAGCAGTCTCTCCGTGCTTTCAGAAAGCCTTTGATCTTGGATACTTTTAATTAGTAAAATTTCAGGGGGATAGTCTGTAAACTTAGGATACCTGCCTGGTAGAAACACAGAGTTACTTTTTCCTGCTATAGGTGGGCAGGAAGGGGTCAGAAAACAGCCTGCGGGGGGGGCGGTGCCCCTGGCAGCACCCAAAGGGTCAAGGACCTGCGGTGCGCAGAGGCCCCCCCTGCGGGCAGGGGGGTGGGGAGGGCCGCGGCCGGTGCGGGAGTTGCAGGAGGGAGGGGCGCCCCAGAATTCCTGAGGTCCAAGAGGCGGATTGTCGGGGCTCCGGCTGCCCTCAGGAGGGGAGGCCACGGGCCCCCTGCGTGCCTGGGGAGCCTGGGGGGCCGGAGGAGCCGGAGGAAGCCGAAGATCCCGGAGGAAGCACCGCCTTTCCGGACACGTGGCCGAGAGCGGGACAGCGGGGCCCGGGCTCCGTGTCAGGCTGAGGCTGCCGGCTGCCGAGCAGACGCAGCTGGGGCCGGGGCCGGGGCCGCTTCCCTGCGGGGCTGGGGGCGCGGGCGCCGTTGGTGGGGGGCAGGGAAGGGGGCCTTCTGCCCTCCCCTGCCGCTGCGTTTGTTCCGGGAGGAGCAGGAGGGAAGCTTGGGGAGCCCGGCATGGCAGGCAGGTACCTGAGCCTGTGCCCTCCCCCCGCCCCCCCGGGACGTGTGAGTGGGGCACGGCCGCCCTCAGCTCGGGGCGGCCCGGGGCACAGAGTGGCACCCTCAGCCGCCGCAGCCCAAAGGTGTGCGTCACCGAGCAGGAAGCTCGACAGTCCCGCAGCCGCGATTCCCGGGGGCCCCAGGGGTCCCGAGACCCTCGGCCAGCCTGCCCCGTGCCGCTTGGACCCGCAGTCGCTCCTCGGGGGCTGCTGGGCCGAGGGACCCCCGGACTTGGCTGTGAGTCGCCCACGGGGTCTGCCCGGCTCCGCTGCTGGGGCGCCGGGCTCCCGGCCGGGCACGCAGGTGGCTCCGCAGTCCAGAGCGAGGTTCTGAGTCCAGACTGTCCTGTCTTCTGTCGTTGGTCCCCCCCATCCCCGGGGCGCTGAGGGCCCCCCATCACCGACGCGGTCCGACAGGATCTGCACCTTAGCCAGAGCCTCCCACTCGGTCGGTAGCTGCTCCGTCCCTGTCTGCTGGGTCAGTGACCCGACCCACCGGGAGCGGCTTTGTTCCGACTCTGGAAACTTTCGGGAGTCCCCCTGGTTGGGGTGTCTGGGCAGAAGTGTCCCCTGTGAGTGTGGCGTTTTGGAGGACGTGGTGGTTTCTACAGCTCATGTTCTTCAGCAGTTTTTTTTAACTAGTCCATGTGAGACGGACACTTGTCACTGAGAGCGTCCCTTCCTAGTCACTGAGGCTCTTTCTGGGGCCCCGTGTCAGGGAGCAACGGGGGCGGCCCCCGATCCCCCCACTTCCCCCGCCCGAGCAGGAGCAAGAGGCTCCTTCCGCAGAGGGGAGGGGAGTGGAGGCCCTGAGGTGCCCCTGCCCTGGGTGCCTCCGGCTGCCCCGGGCCTGCGGCTCTGCCCTCCGCCCCTTCTGGACGGTGGGCCGTCGGCGTCTGCTGGCTCTCAGCTTCCATCAGTACTCGGCAGTGGGGCCCTGCCGGGACTGTCCTCGGCCGGAGAGGGGCCCTGTCCCGGCCAGGCGGGGTCGTGAGGGTGGGTGGGCGTTTTGCTCAGCAGTGTCTCGTGGGCCACTCCTGGAAACGGTCCGCGACGGGAAAAGAAAAACACCACCAATGGCCATCGCTGGTTTGGGGTGTTCGGCCGGCTGTCCCCCTCTGCCCGGGAGAGCGAGGACAAGCTTTGCCCTCTGCTCACGTGACTGGGTGGGGGCGGGGCTCGGCCTTAGAATTCGGGGGCCAGTTCCCTCTGTCCCAGGCACGTTCGGTCCCCACAGACTGCGGCCCGCGGGCACCGGTCCCCTCCAACCCCGGACCCCGGATGTGCCCCTGCGTGTGCCCAGGCTCCTCTTCAGAGTCTCCGGAGCCCGAGGGGGATCAGGCCTGGTTGTGGGGCCCGGAGCCTCTCCAGCTCGGGGTCATTGTCACAGAGAAGTGCAGACGCCCTCGACCGTGCTGGGCACACGTGACCGCGGGGTTCTCGGCGGGCTGGAGGGGCCGTCAGGGGGGATGTGGGCCGTCGGCACCGTCCGGGTCGGAACCTCGGGCTTCCGGCCAGAGACCTGCGTCTCACCTGTGAAGTGGGGCTGCAGGACGGAGGGACAGGCCAGCTCGGGGGCGGCTGGGCCCGCGGGTCCCCGAGAGGGGGCCGCAGCTCTGGCTCCGCCCTGCTGTCGGAGTCCGGCCGGCCCCCCAGCCCAGCACGTGCCCCTCCCACGCGGCTGCTGGTCTCCCAGCGAGGCCTCTGCGGCCGGGCCCTCGTGCCCGAGCCAGGCGTCTCTCTCTCTCTCTGACCTCGGTGTCCCCAGGGTCCCTGTCCGTGACGCCGGCCCGGCGGGCAGCCTCCGTCAGTGACATCGCA